TAGGACCACAGAAAAAATAATTACTGGGTCCAGTATGATCATGTTGTTGTTGAATGTGAATATACGACCACTAGAAGAACTAATTACTGGGTCCAGTCTGGTCCTGCTGGTGTTGAGTGTGGATATAGGGCCACTAGAAGAACTAATTACTGGGCCCAGTCTGGTTCTGCTGGTGTTGAGTGTGGATATAGGGCCACATGTACATGTAAGAGGACCCAGGTGGAGCCTGCGAAGTTGTGTTTGAGACTGTCAGCAAGAGATTAGTGGGGTGGATCGAAGATTTTAAGATACCCCCAGCTCTGACTCCTGAGTAGTTAGGAGAATGCTGTAACGTTTTCAGGGAATAGGAAGGGGATCTGTGGCATTAGGAATAAAAGGAGGGGCATCAGGCTTGTCTGGGTACATCCTGGGGATTGTCATGGTGTGGGGTGGGGATGAATTTGGTGACATGTTGAGATATTCCTGACCCTGCTGATCCTCGGGAGTCTCCATCACTGTCAGATGTTTGCCTTGTTTAGATGTCTGATGGAGCTTTCTCCCGGAGATTTTCCCATCCACCTGTTTATTATGGATCTTCATATGGACACGGAGGTTATCTGCCCTTGAGCAAGATTTCCTACATTTGTTACAGACAAACATTTCAACTTTAACATTTTAACAGTCTTGGTATGTTTTGACAATCTCCCCTTGTCTGGGAAGCATAGGCCGCATTCTTTACACTCGAATGGCTTAGGTCCTGAATGTCGCTTCTGATGAGCCTTGCAGCGCTCTTTGGTTTTGAAGGACTGTCAACACTCGGTACAATTATATGGACTTTCTGATTTAAATACAGAGTAGCGTTCGATTTTAAAAAACTTTCCACAAGTGCTGCATAGGAAGGACTTCTCATCACTATGGACGGCCGCGTGGATTTCCAGCGTACTTATACATAAACTGTCCCCCACTGATGTTGCACATGAAGCGTAACCCGTCTGCGATGTGTCTTCATTGAACCAATAACAATAATTTTGAAAATGACCGATGACAAGGCAGTATATTTACTAGTTCCAATTTTTGTTGAATAAGCAGCTGTCTATGATGTCAAAAGCCTGGACTTTAATGTATCGTTTTATAAAAGATTGAAAGATCGTACGTTTTGATTTTATTGATTTTGTTAAATTTTTGTGATTTGAGTTTTTTCAAAAGCTCCATTTTTTAATATATTGATGTACAGTATGTTCTCCATTAAGAAGAGTTTTCATGTCTCATAAAACTGAGGATTGTAGAGAAGCTACAAAAATCTACTGACAAATTCAAAATCAAGATTACAAGCTGACCGGTCTTTAATTTCCTGTGTAGCAGAATTTTTTGAAAAACTTCTGTATCTACATGAGAAAAAGAAAACACTTGCTGTGACCTTCAACTCGACATTTTTATATATCGACGATGTATTGTCAATTAATAATAGTTAATTTCAATCATATGTCGAATCAATTTATTCTCAGTGAACTTGAAATTAAAGACACCACAGAGTCTGCTACGTCTGTTTCATGTTTGGATGTTTTACTAAAGACGATATATAAGGGCCAACTAACAACTAAACTGTTAGACAAACGAGATGATTTCGACTTTTCCATCGTCAACTTTGTTTTTATTTTTGTAGTAATATCCAGCTATCTCCTGCATATGGTGATTATGTCTCCAACTTATTCGGTACTCAAGAGCATGCTCCGAGTACGATCAGTTTTTAAACCGAGGCAGGATACTGATAGATTTGTTGATGTCACGGGGATTTCAACAACCTCGTTTAAAGTCAGCATTTCGTGAAGTCTATTCTATGGTCGTTATAATGACCTTGTTAGCAAGTTTAACCTATGACTGGATTGCATTTTGGTTGACTTGTTTCATACCAATTATTAGGCATTTGTTTTTATATTGAATTTGACTACAAAAGTTCCGTCTTATTGATCAATACATAGAGCTCACGGCCGGTGTGACCGGGCGACAGGGGATGCTTATTCCTCCTAGGCACGTGATCCCATCTCTGGTCCGTGTTTATGCCATCTTCACAGATTTTTATAGTTGAAAGATTTTTTTGAGATCGATAACTGTTATTTATCTCCACCCTTTTCATCATATAAGCTCAGTTTACATTATGAGTTTTGGAGGACATGCAATATCGCAATTAATACTTAAGTATAACCTCTCATAAACGATCATCTTTACTATAAATGATTAATCTGACACTGCGAAGCTAAAACCTGTAATTTTGAAAAAAAAAAAAAAAACTTTTCAAAATGTGCTTTTCTTTGGTTTGTTTGTACATATTAACCTTTATTATGATGGACGCCAAGTCTGTATTAATGGAACCTAGTGACACACTGAAAGCAAAACTATGGAACCTTCATAAAAAGTTTCAGAAATCCTCCAAGGCCGTGGGTTCGGAGCTGAGGGTAATGTTTAACAATTAGTATTTCTACTAAAACGGCATCGTCTTTTAAATAAATATTTGTTGTATAATTTGTTGCAGTTGAGTTTAAATTATAACATTAATATTTTTTTACAATAAGGAAACACATTTTGAGACAAAGACCAAAACCGTTTGTAAAAATTCAGGATGTTCCGTAATTGATTCTGAAGGTAATTATTGTATCCTTTAGACTTATGTAAGATTTTAAGAATAGTGTTTTAATCGTGCTTGAATTGAGAACATATAAAATCCATATATATATATATATATATATATATATATATATATATATATATATATATATATATATATATATATATATATATATATATATATATATATATATATATATATATATATATATATATATATATATATATATATATATATATATATATAGATAGATAGATAGATAGATAGATAGATAGATAGATATAGATATAGATATATATATTGATATATATATATGTGAATATACTCTACATTATTTTGTTCAACTCACATTTGTCACTTTGTATATGTATGTATTATTCTTGTTAATTTGTTCTATGTCATGACTGTATGCCGACATGGTAATTGTCAATAAAGTGAATTGAATTGAATATATATATATATATATATATATATATATATATATATATATATATATATATATATATATATATATATATATATATATATATATATATATATATACATGGTTACTGTCTTGAAATATAAGCGATATTTGGGCGAGGGTAAGAAAATGTGATAGAGGGCGAGGCTTGCCGAGCCCTCTATCACGTTTTCGACCCGAGCCCAAATATCGCTTATATTTCAAGACAGTCTCCATGTATTTTGTTTATCCTGCAACACATTTTTACAGGACCTCCAAAACGAGCTGTTTTCAACCGATTTAGGTACATCTCTGCAGTTGAAACTAATGCCCTGTTCACACGGAGAGTTTAATTCGAATTAAACGTAAGTTACTGCGAATTAAATTTGATCCGCGTTCACACGGAGAATTTAATGCGAATTAGTTTAATTCGAATTAGTTTACTGCGCATTAAATTACTTCGCTTTAGCTCCGTGTGAACGCTAAGCGAAGCTAATTCGAATTAAATTTCGACGCATGCGTAAGGGCAGAAATAGGTCACAGGCCACATGTCGATGGTCAAATATAGGTACTTGTGCTATTTTTGAGTAGAAAACAAAGGAATATCATGTTAATCACTAAAATGAGTACAGACACTATGACATTATGTCAAATGTATATCTGCTGTGCACAATATGACGTGATTTGTAAATGACGTCATAATAGCCTTACTGAATGGCTTATTGTAGAAATAAAATTTTAATTCGCATTAGTTTACTTCGCATTAGCTGTCGTGTGAACGCAATTTAATTCGCATTAGTTTGATTCGCATCATTTTGCTTCGCATTATTTTACTACGAATTAAACTCTCCGTGTGAACAGGGCATAAGACGCCATGGCGTAAACATTCCAATCTTCATGACGTCACAATGCTTTTAGAACGTTGGAATACATGCACGAGGCTTTATTAGGGCATTGACCGAATAAAGCTTTGGTTTATTAGGATACCTTTATTAGGTCAATACAAGGGGTAGTTGCAGGAGATATATATATATATTAGGGATGGCAATCCATTACAGAATTGTTAATCGGTTAAATGTTCCGACCGATTAACCGGTTAATCGTATCAAAATGCACGTTTTCTTGACAATTGTTTTTCAAGTAGCTCTGTCCATATACACAAATAGACCCAAATAAAACGATAGAAGTTAAAACTCGCCATTAGTCTTGATTCTGGATCGGAAAAATACGGGTACATATTATTTTTTACTTAAAATTCAGTAGACAAAAAAATTGAGAAAACCATGAAAAAAGCTTAAGAAATCTTTGATAATTTGATAATTTTCCAGAGCAGATGTCACAAAAGTTCTTTCTGCATTTTCACTACGAAAATCAAAACTACATGTGAACTCTATAGCCCTTAATTTACAATGTTTCTTTAATGAATAAATTGGATTGAAAACTGAAAACGACAAAAACACCAATTCACAGTGCTCAATGATTCATTATTATTATCATTGCAGAATTACGTGACAGTCAGTAACTACATGGTGTTTTCACAGTAATTAACACTACATAAACTGACCAATTACGCAACGGTCTCAATCTGGAGATTCATAATTACATGTACGTCTAAATTAGATCCTTTTAATCCTAAATGATCATCCTTTGCGCAGAGATTTCTTTTTTTTTTTTTATAAATTTTTTAAAAATGTGTTCAATTTAACAAATATTTTATTTTTTCCGATTAACCGATTACAGATTTTCTAATCGATTGCCATTGTTCCGACCGAGTAATCTGTTAACCGGTTACAAATTGCCACCCCTAATATATATATAGAGAGAGAGAGAGAGAGAGATTCGTGTCAGAAAAAGTTCTGAAATTCAAAAAAAAAACCCACATAACATCTATGCCTAAATTCATTTATACAGGAATAAATTTCTTTCATTTATGTAATTTTAAAAATTTTCAGAAGGCAATAAGACGTGCCCTAAAGGCTGGAGAAAGTTTGATGGTAACTGTTATATACAGCTCTCTTAGAAATCTACTTGGTCTGCATCAAAGGTAAGGTACCGAATTCATCAAGAAATTGGGAATGAAAATTAAAAAAAAAAAAAAAAAGAATAACAGCTGATTTCATTTTAGTCATCACCGCATATATTTAAAAAGGAATATGAAAAATTGAAAATAAAACGGCTAATAAAGTTACATCAGTATCTCAATTTTTCTTAATGAACTTAGTATGTATATATATAGTACCTATTGTTGGTTTATTGTCTTACTTTCTTTGTAAGCTTTCATTTTTTCCTTCTTTATTTTGCATTCCCTTTTTTGAAGAGACTTTCAGCATATGCAGTTTTTCTTTAAATAATAAATAAATGAATAATTCAAACTGAGAAAGGGCGGTTGCTAACTCGCACTGATCATAGTCCATATGTTTCTTAACTATTTAGCTGGATTAAAAACTTAATTCCCTACATATTTTTTTCTTTTTTCCTTTCTAGAGCGCATGTCAAGCACGCAACGCTAATTTAGCTCGAGTAACATACGAGAGAGAACATAATTGGATTTATAAGACCTTTGGGGGTAGTTTTTTCTAACCATTTAAAAAGAAACAAATCATTTGTATTTAGAATTATATGTTTATTTGAGTACTGAAGGATACAAAGATGAAGGACGTGGTCTGTAAGGCATGATTTTGCAGGTTCCCGTGCTTGGATTGATGCTACTGATACACTTAAAGAAGGAAAGTGGAGATGGTCCTCCACAGGAAAGATGTTGACGTACACTGCTTGGGACAAGGGGGAACCTAATGGCAGTCGTGGCGAGAACTGTGCACATGTCCGATACTTCAGAGGAACATTTAATTGGAATGATGCAAACTGCGGAATAGCGTTGCAAGCCTTATGCAAAAAAAACACATAACCGATTCGTTTATTTTGTATAATCCGAAATTATGAATTAAAAACAGAAATTAAAGTGTAAACAGTTAGTGAATAAATAATTTTTAAAAAGATATACCATAAATTGTTATTTTATAAATAAATATGTGGAGATAACAAACAGTATTCGAGCTCAAATGTCCATTAAACATCACAAAATAGGAGCAGAGCAAACACGGACCTCCAAAACATCAGAGGTGGGATCAGGTGCCATGGAGGAGTGAGCATTCCCTGCCGCCCGGTCACACCCGCCGTACATGTATGCTCCTTGTCATGATCGGGTAATAACGGAAAAATCCGTCGACAATTCAGAGTGTAAATAATGGCTTAACAATTAGTATGAAAAAAGTCAGTCAGCATTTGACTTAGTGAAATATTGTTTTTGCTGACAAGGTCATTGCATCGACCATAGAACTTACGAAATGATGACTTTAAACGAGACTGCTGATCTTCTTGTTTCATAAACATTTTGATTGATATTACAATCTATGGACAAAAATATTTCACAAAATTTAAAATACCTAATGTAAAACTTGTCACAGCTTTATTTACCAATTCCCCAAGAAAAGAACAGAAATAAAAATGAAGGGCCATCTCGCAAAATATAAAGGTATGACAATTAGTAGTTAATTTAGCAGGATATTTTCTGATTGAAAATGAAGGTTCATGACATGACCTCTTTCATCTGTTGATTTAATATTTAATCTGAGGGCATTTTACAAGCTGACAAACTACTCAATGAAATCGCTAAAAATACTAATAAAAGTATAGAGAGGTGCGTGCTGCAAAGTATAATATCGTAAATTATTTTTATTCCTTGGAACTATGTAGATTAATTCGCATTGTTAATTAAAAAAAACACACCTCTATTTCCAATCAGAAAATACAAATACAGTCATAAGACATAAGTATTATCATTGATATCAAATTTACGTTAGCTAATCATAAAAAAAATCCTCCTAAATTTTGTACCGATTATCATACCTTTACATATAATGAGATCCCTGTTTTCCCGTCACACCCGCCTTAAGTGCCATGCAAGACCATTGCTTTTATACTAATTTTGTGTACGGATTAATCCGTTTGCCTGATCGATCAATGCAAAGGGGGGGGGGGTCACCGCGGATGTGACAGGGGATGCTTACTCCTCTTGGGCACCTGATCCCACGCCTGGTGTTTCCAGTGGTCTTTTTTTATTTTACCCTGTTCAGAGTTTGTATTGTTAAAAGGATTTCTTAGATCAATCACCGACATTAAGGTACACCTTTTAGTCCGCAGTGTAAAAGAAGGTCGTGGAACTCAAGGATAATTTTCACAAGTAAATAAATGTTACTTTACTTGTAGGGGGGTTGGTTTCTGGTTTCAAATTGACAAATTGGAAGTAATTATTGTATTATTATAAATAAATATTGTTAAGTCTTTATTTGTATGAACAAAAATTTAAAACTATCAAATCAACATGAACATTTCAATGTACATGTGCAATAGGTATGTTATGAAAAGTTTAACTAGTAAATGATCCCACTTTATGATCGTGATCATGTTATGCCTATTTCTAACATAATTATCACATCATTATAATTAGGAGGTCTATGACATAAGCAACATAGATTCATATACCTATTACACAGATAGTTACTTGGAAGACAAAAGATCGTGAACTCAAAATAAATTAAACCAACCGATCCTTCGGATGAGACCGTATAAATCAAGGTCCCATGTCGCAGTAGATGCTGACACGAAAAGATCCCTTACAAACAAAATATAAACCTAAAACTCGGAAAATGTTGTTTCTACCTTTAGGGCGAACTGGTTCTGATAAAAAAACAAACATTTGCAGTTCGCCAAAATTACCCAATATACGGGAAGTTATTTTCGAGGAAAGGTTATAGGATAGAAAAATTGACAGTCACACACATATTGAATTTGCAGGAGAAAGAGTTGTTTGAATACTTGACTCAGATCTAAGAAAATTTTTTAAGAAAAATTTTTATTCTTTATCTGAGACAACTTTTCCTGGAAGAAAATTTTTAAAAAATAAGTACATATACATTCATCGAGATTTTAAAAAACGTTATTAACAAGATAAGAATGAGACATCTCTAGAAAAGGACAAAGTCGTTTCAGATATTAAAAAGGATTTTTGGCAAATTCTCAGATTCTTGTGACTAAAATAAAATTTATCGTATTTGTTTTTGAAGACTTTAATATTTCTTATTCCTAAGATTATTCTGATATAGCATAGTATTAACAATATTGTTGTAACCTGGAAAGGCTTGAAAAGTAATTTAATATAACGAACAACAATCACGCTCAAAAGTCCAATCAAACAAAATAAATTGAAAGTAAAGCAAACATCAGAAGTAAGAAGACCTCAGTCAACATTCAACCTAATGACAGATTTGTACCTGCAAACAAGGTTGTGATCAACCATAGAATTTACCATAGAATTAAACAAAGTTGTTGATGCCGTTGTATTGTCAACTTATCTGTCAGTAGACTGCTTTGTTTTATTATTGTTTGTATGTCGAGTAAGTTCTTTCGTATCTATTCAACTGGGAGACATGTATCTCATATGCAGTTAATAACGGTATGTTGCAACATAAATAAGGGAAGCTGAGGATAGAAAAGTTGAAGCCATTAAGATTATCATAAAATTTAGTTGTTAGTTTCTATATGGAGTTTTGGAGAGAAAAATTGTCTCATCACAACAAATGTGAAATAGAGGCTGTTCTGTAGCATATTCAAAACAAAATTTAACAGTCTGATTTTATATTCATCATTAACTAGTACACAGAAACTCGTAAGGATTGCGTATCTTACACACTCCCATGCTGGGGAGTTTTTCTTGTAAAACCTTATATAAAATCATAATCTCATAACCTCATAAATATCTTATGAAGATGAGAGTATAAAAAAAAAAAAATAAAATATACTCCAAAAGAATTCAAACATGATATTTAGCAATTTTTAAAATCTTTTATTCATAATTTATGTTATCATTAAAGATTTTTTAATGGAACAAAAAAATAAAATAATGTCTCATTTCTCCTAGTGTACTTTCAAACACAACCACAAATAGATCTACCACTCTTGCGGCCGATAATAACAAATAAAGTCAGGGTCGCCAACAGTCAATATTGAATTTGAAATACAATTAAATAATACTCTTCTTCACATTCGTGAGAACAGAATTATTTATTGTTAAAAATTATCATTAGAATATTTTTTGTGGTCATTGTTGTACAATAGAGAGAAGAAAATCGCCGACATTTTTCAGGTGTTCAAAATTGTCACAATAATTTTTTTTTCCAGCTATTGTATAGCTATATATATAATCTGATTTTGGTTGTAAAACTTATATCCACCATTTTCCCCATTGTTGCTAATACACAGAGTTAGCTCTTATAGATTCCTAAGAACTATATTCAAGGGTGATGGGAAAGGAAAATATTTCTACAAATTGTTCATTAGTTTTTGTTCGTTTCTTCCCTCCTTTTTTTAGATAAGAAATGTGCTGTTGAATATACCGCGAGATTTCTCACAGAAGACTTTTTAAAGGTATATGTACATGAGAAAAAAATACGGTGAATATCTTGCCTTACATTCGGTGAACCACGCAAACAAAACTTAAGAGGGCTACATGTAGTCGTCTTGTGTTACATTATTACTGATACTTTATTGGTACTAAGCCACTTTAACCTAAACTTTAGCAAATTAATTGTTTAACGTCCCTCTCGAGAATTTTTCACTTGGCGAATTAGGACTGACACTTGAATTTTCTATTTACTTGCATAACTGAAATGACTTTAGGGATATAAGAAGAAAAAATATCAGAAGTGAGCGCTGCTCGTAACTGCGAACTCTTAAAGGAATGCCTGGGTGAAGAGAAAATTCGAACTGTGCACTTTGTCACAGAGATGCATCCTACATTCGACGTCATGTAATGTCACAGTTTAGGCCTTCAAGAGGTGGATCTAAGACTTATTTTAAAGTTAATTATTATCAAATAACTGCGCTCGCCCCGACGGTCTGCATGGGAATTTAAATTCTGATGAATTTCAAATTGAACAATCCATTTAGTTCATTGCTTTGCGTTTCCCAGTACTTTCAGTATTTTGATTAGAAATTCACTTTTACTAATATTTAACCCCCCCCCCCCCCCTCATGACCATCATAAACTACTTCAGGGTAACTATGCAACAGTTAAAGAGATATAAAATCATTACTTTCGTTAGCTTTGAAACTTCTAATGTTCATGGTTGAAAGTATAGTTTTGGCGATTCTATCAGCCTTACGATAATGAAAAATTAGGTTGTTATTACATTCGCACTAAACTTTATTCGGTTTCCTACAAATTTTTAAATGGACTATTTGAAAAAGCTAAAGCAAGCCCATACTTAGATTCCTCAACTGTAGAATATAAGCTGGTGTTTGTGATTATGGATGTTGTCCAGCACAGGCTCTTTAAGCCACAGCGTATGTCGGAGGATAATTCTGACTCAACCCGTCGATTTCTTAAACTTACATTAGCCAACAAAGGAATAGATGCTGTAAACATTAGTATATTCTTAATAAAAAAAAAGTTCAGTCTTGTATTCCACCATATTTCGAATTCAACAGATATTCCCAAACTGTTGCATCCAAACTTTTCAATGATAAACAAACCTGCAGTGCCTAGAAATTAAACATCTAAAACAAAATTCTCTTAAGTGTTCTTACTCTTTGTTTTCTTTCAACTACAGTGCCGCTGGACACGTCATTACTGTTGGTGTTAATATAACAATGTATAAGTGAAAACGAAGCAACCATTGTAAAAGGTCCTAAATACTGGGAGTCCCGATCTTTCAATTGGAGACAGAAATTCATTTC